AACTTGTGCAAGTGCTAGTGGCTGACTGCATTTCCACTGTGTACAGTGATGATGAAATACATACTGTATTTTTTTCAATTTAATATTCTTTTAAAATGTTTGAATTAACATTTTTATTTTTTATATTTTAAATTTTTTTATTCAGAAATAATTAAAATAATAAATATTATATAAACACATACCACAAATCCCACGATATAGGAAAAACTCCCTGATACAGAATTAGACATATTTTTTCTAGAAACCCACGATACAGTGAAGCCACAATAAGTGAACCACGATATAGCAAGGGATGACTGCAGTCAGAACCACTGGTATCTGCTGGTATAGGCAATGGGGCAGGAATTCAAGCAGATGGCTGGACTTAACGCCAGCAATTTCAGATCCAACCACCTCTGAAAGCCACACTCACTGAGCCTGGTATATCACGCCAGAGGGTGGGGCCTGTGTCCTTCCCAGCCTGAGCTTAAACTTTTCAGACACCATGGCTATCTCACATGGCTGTCTCCCATAGTTGTGTTTCTCCCAGTCATTGTGGTAAGGTAACACTTAATACCTTGAGGGCTGGGGATTTAGCTCAGCGGCACAGCATGTGCCTGGCAAGCGCAAGGTCGTGAGTTCGATTCCTGGTACCGGAAGAAAAAACAAAACAAACAAACAAACAAAAAAAACACTTAATACCTTGAGTTTGAATCATTATGTTGGAGAATATATAACTATATAAAATATATAGGAGAAATATAACTCCCAACCTGCTAGATGTCAGATGTGCCAAGTTTGTGTCCCCTGAAATTGAAGAAGTGATTCCAAGGTACAGCAGAGGTTAAGAGTAGGAAAGGTTTATTGAGAGATAGCTCCTGAGAGATAGGAGGGGTCCTGAGTGGGTTGCCACCAAGGCCCTTTGTCAGAGGTTATTTATACAACAGAGTCACAGTATAGGACCTATATTGACCTATAGGCTTGTGAGTATAGCTGCTTCGCTAATATTAATCCAGTAGGGAAGTGGGTCACCCAGCAAAGGTACGTGGAAGGAACAAAGGCATTTTTCAGGAAGGGATGGGTCCAGATGCTCTGGTCATCCACCTGGGTGACTGATGCCTAGTTGGACTTCCTGGATCAGGTGGTGCTAATTACAATGTAATTCCAAGCTATTGCTTATCCCTTGGGGAGACATATAGGCCTGGCCATTGCATCTCTTTCCTTGAGGTTTGGTCTTCAGATGTGCCTCCACCAGCAATTCTGATGTCTTTATTTTTCACTGACTTCCTTGACAGCCTACTCCCTCTCTAACTGTAATTAACTTCTGTCTAGCTGCCTATAATACTGTCTCTCAGTCTTACACAATAAACCCCTTCCCAAAATGGTGGCTAATTAAACACTATGGCAATGTGTCAGACACTGTGCTGGGTTTCTTCTCCAACTCTAGCTTCCTTTGAAGGAGTCAGTTTTGGAATAACACTCCATGCTGTTTTTGTAATTTACAATAGCCATGGACTTTTATTGAGGCTAGCCCTGTTGGTCAAGTCCATAATATCTCCCTGAATCTGCTGGCCCTCCAAGTGTACCTCCCTTTGAGGACTGGTGGTTGGTTGGCACCTCCTCTGCCCCATGCAAAGGAGGAACAAAATGCAGAGCTGGCCTGGAGATGGCAAGTTGCTGAAACCAGGGTATGGAATCCATAGGAGTGGATTTGGACAGGGCCCCACATGTGGGTTCATGCAGCCCATGGAAGCACAGGTCCTTCTAGTCCATAGATATAACCATTTTAAAAAAAAAATTGAGTAGTCTTTATTGTTGCAAGAATTCTTTATATATTCTGCAAAGTTTCTTATAATATATATGATTTGCAAGTGTTTTATCACATTCCACAGTTTGTCTCTCCCTTTTCTTGATGATGTACTTTGAAGCACAAAAGTTTTATAATTTAATCAAGTTCTATTTATCTGTTTTTTTGTCTTTTCTTGCTTGCACTTTTGGTGTCACATCTAAGAAACCATTGCTTAATCCAAAGTCACGGAGATTTACTCCTGTTTTCTTCTAAGACTTTGAATATATTAACTCTCAAAGTTAGGTCTATTATCCACTTTTAGTTATTTTTGTAATATACTGTGAGAAATAAATTAATCAACTTGCCCTATCTCTAAACCTCAGGAGTTTCCTACCCTCATTGGGCTGGTAGCCTCTTACTCTATCCATGCCTTACTGATGCCTACAGTACACAATGAACTACTCGCACTAATTTTTTCATATAACTTACTTTAAAAAATATGGCTCCACTATAGTTGTCTTGAATTTTGTTGGAGGGAGGTATGGGGTGGTCTAGAGGAAAAGAAGAAAACCCTTGAAGTCATTTGGTGCTGCAGTACATTTTTCATACTTGGAAGAGAAATGACAACTACAGCTTACTGCTGCCACCTGCTGTTAGGATGGTTTAGACAATTGGTAGCCCCCAAAGTTATTTGCCAGCCTTGATAAATTAAAATATATCAGGGGTTGGGTGGGCATCAGCAATGAGTGAAAGATACTGGTTAAGAATTATGTTGAATTGTCTAGGACCAGGCCATGTAAAGTAAATAGCAATTCCTTATCTCCGTATAATTATTGCTACCCATGGAATGCTGGACCTCTAAGGCTAGATTTTTAGTTTGTTCTTTTTTTTCTCAAGATAATCCAGAAATCCAGATTTTTAAATGGGAACTTTCCAGTTTTTAACTGACAGAGCAAGCAAAATATGTCTCTGAGACAGTAGTTCACAACTTCTCTATTGTCTGCAACAGTGCTAAGAAATGCTTTTGATAAATACAGAAATAAAAATCAAAAGCAATTTGCTCTGAGGCAGTTCAAGTGACATTAGCACTGGCCCAGCATCACATCTTCAGGCTTTCTGGTTTATTTTGCAATCAGAAGACCGGGCTTCCTGCAGGGCAAGGGCTAACTGTCCTGCATCTGTACATCCCCATCAGTGAGTACCTTCCCCACATAGAGTAGACATTAAACCAGTCCAAGATAGATGAACAGGTTTGTGCTTTGGCGTACATGATGCACTGTTGTGTGATCTTGGGTAAATCAATTAGGTTCTCTTTCCTTTTTCTCATCTAGAAAATGTGAGTTGTGAGGCTCTACTTTTGTGCAAGTAAACTTTATTCAAAGGTTACTTACTAGTGGATAATGATAGGCTAAATAAGAGAATGCTTTAATTCTCCAAGAAGTTTCTGAGCATACACTGAGTTACCTGCAGCCCATAGAACTCAGAGAAACTAATGTAATATTAAAAAGGATAATGATGAAAATCAGCCTCAGGACAATTTGACACAGACTGAGAATGCATACTATTTCAACTTGAACATGAATGAAATGGGATGATTAAGATTAAATCCACAGTGTTGCATTCATTCACTATTCAAAACCCTGTACCTAATAACTTCTATGAAATATGAACATTTAAAATCTTTATAGTATCATGAATTATGGTGATTGAGGGGGGTGAAGTGCCAGGACAGAAAGCTTAGTGATTTGTTAGTGAGATGCAGTTTTCCAATATTTTCTGATCATAGCACTCATCTTACTGCAGGTATTAATAAAATACTAATACTCAAGCTCTGATCTCAAGATTGTGCATCAGTAGATACAGGCAGATAGAATTTAACTTAATTCCACAAAGCACTGAGATATTCATGTGATCAGGTAAGTCTGGAAAATTCTGAAGGGTTTCTAATCTTGAGCCTAGGCAATTGCTCACAACACAAATTTGAACAAATTTGGCAAAAAATTGTCTGAGTTTCCTCAACTATAAAAATGAGTTATTAGCTTTAGTTTTGATTACTAGATTTAAAGGATCTTTTAAAGTCCAGAAATCTATATAGTACATTTAGAACTATATATTTGAAAAAAGAATATTCATTCCCTTATCCCTTTTGTTCCTACTGTTGCAGAAGGCCCGTATCTCTAAAAAGATAGAACTATTTCACTAGGTGTGTTACTACTGAATCACAGCCTATGAAGAAATTATTTACATTTTAAATCTTTCACTTTGTTAATATGTTACACTGTGTAGGAGTTTCAGTGGTGTTTGAAGTATAAATGTGTTAAACACAAACATTTAAAACAAATCAGTGTTTAAAACCAGTTTTGAAAAAACTTTATTTTTTCTTCATATATCAAGAATTTTCAAAATAAGTGATGGGTCAGGCCTCGTTTGAATTCTTAGAGACCCATTTATGCTCGAAATTTCCTTCCTATTGTCCATGTCTGCCACTTTGCTCATCCATGAGATGCAGTAGACAGCGTCCACAATTTAAAGAGGTTTATTTTGGTTCATGGCTGCAGTCCATGGTCGGCTGGATGCAAGGCAGAAAACAGCATGGCCGATGTGGCATAGCAGAAGAAAATCTGCGCATGTCATAGTGGCCAGGAAGCAGAGAAAGAATGGAGGAGCTGGGGAAGAAGACACACTCAGTTTACAGCATTCTAGGATTTCTTTCACCAGCAACTCCAGGCCTTTCCAGAGTGCTTTTCCAAACCAATGCCAAAGGCTTCTAAACCTCATGGTCACAACATGTCATGGCGATGACCTCACTTCTGTGGTACCAAGATGTTGTTCCAAGTTAGGACAGGTTAGTGGAAGGGTCGGGGGAAGAAAGCTGGTCACATTGTGGTGGCAAGGAAGCAGAGAGAGAAGGAAGGAACCAGGGAGGGAGACACACCCTTCCAGGTCATGGCCTCAGTGACCTGCCTCTTCTGACCAGCCCCACCTCCTAATAACTAGTCAACTACATTCTCACCACCATTCAGTCACCTTGCAAAAGCCCAGTCTGTAAGTGCATAGGGTGTTGGGGGGACAGTCTTGAAAAAAAAAACATAGCCAGAGGCTAATTATTCTACTCATGCTTTTTGCCCATTACTTGTGCCTCCTCTAGGCTGCTCTTATATTACTTGTTGCATTATCTCAATCATTCGTGTTATTTATTTATTTATTTATTTATTTATTTTTCTGGTACCAGGAATCGAACTCAGGACCTTGCACTTGCCAGGCAGGCACTTGCGCTGCTGAACTATATCCTCAGCCCTATCTCCATCTTTCAAACTGTGAGTATATACATTTTTCTTCTTGGTTTTATTCAAGGAATCCTCTTCCTCCCAAGTGCTTTAACTGGAATTTTTCTAAGCCTTCAGTCATAGTCCATGTTTACATGTTTGAATGCTCACAGCAGCCAGGCAGTAGACATAAGTGACCCAGTGTTTGCTGGTGATTTCTAAGTAGGTATCCTAGCATCATACAACATATCAACAATTTTAATTGAACCAGTTAGCCATCTATTTTTCTCTTATTTTCCTTGTTGCTGATATTAGAATTCACTTAATCTATCAGTCTGGTAGGAGGGAAGAGGCCTAACACAACTGATTTGGAGACAGATGTGTTGGTAACTTGTGTATGGTTGTGACACTGGCACAGGTCTAGTAGAGTCCAGGTGAGACAGCTAACAACCACTGCAGTAATAGCCAATCATGTCAGTGTGGGTAGTGGTAGCAAAGGAGGAAAATGTAGGATTCAGTTACATTGTGCCAAGGCCAAAGGAAGGCTCAAACAGGTCTGTTCACAACTCTAATAAAGTCCATAAGGAAACAGTTCCTTCAAAACTATGTTCTCCAGTTTTAATTAGGGAAGTTCAGGACTCCTGGTTGGTCTAGCTCCCAGGGAATGACCTTTCGATGTATGATTCTTAACCTTTTCTGGGTCATAAACCTTTCTGCGAATCTAATAAAAGCTGTAGAATGTTTTCCCTAGAAAATGTACAGATTAACATACATACAAATTAGTGTTGAAAATTTCAGAGATTTCATAAACTAGTTGATCCTATACATACACCCTGAGCTAAGAACCTTTGCCAAAGGCCTTCAGGGACCTTGGTTATACACAGAAAATCAGAATCTACTTAGGAACAGGCTCAAGGGAAGAATATTGTTCAGAAGGCTAAATTTAGCATTGGAGATTCCTATGTTTACCGTTTTCTCTCCTGATGAATTCTATTGAGCCAGACTGCCAATATCTATTAAAGAAAGCTCTCATGCTTGGTATTTTAAATTTTCTCTTCACCAAGTATCATTAATTGAAGGCTTACTGTATGCCAGGTAGAAGGCTGGTACCTGAATAATCAGCAGCTAACAAGAGAGATAGCCATGGAGGTTTTTTCAAGGAGGTGATATTGACATTAAAGTGAAAGATCCCAATAGAATTACTGCAATTTTTAAAGGTTAGTTTTCATTAGTGCACATGTACAACGCATTATAGTTATGTACGTTTTGGGGAATGGCACATGTATATAACATTAATGGCACATGTATATAACAATTATTTAATAATTTTTGGTGCCTTTCCTCGCCCACCCTCCAGCTTTCTCTCTCCTCATATAATCAAGACACTCAAGTAGACTATTCTAGAAGGCACGGATGGAGAAAATTATTCCCCATAAGACAATAAGGAAAGGTCTTCTGAAGAACAGACCCTTATGCTGAGACCTAAGGAGTTTGTCTTGAGAAAAATCAGCAAAAGAGCAGTCTCGATAAAAAGGACAGTATGTACAAAGGCTTTATGTCTTAGTCCTTTTCTAATCACTGGGACAAAATATCTAACATCTACAAATTAAAACAAGAGAAGTTTATTTTGGCTCATGTTTTCCGTCCATGTTGGGTTGGCACCAAGACTGAAGGGCATTTGGGCAAGGTGGTGCACTCCTGTAATCTCAGCACTTGGGAGGCTGAAGCAGAAGGATCGCCATGAGTTTGAGGCCAGCTTAGGTTACATAGTAAGTTCAAGCCAGCCTAAAATTCACAGCAAGACCTTGTCTTTAAAAAAAAAAACAAAAGACTGGAAGGGCAAAGTGGAAGGGCCAGGGTGGAGAAAAGCTGCTCCTGTTGTGGTATTTAGGAAGAAGAGATGGAAAGGAGGAGGCAAGGAGAGAGATGTACCCTTATAGGTCAAGACTGAAATGATCTGCCTCTTCTGGCAAGGCTCCACCTTCCAACAGCAAACTCAACTGCTAAACTCACCAGTGGTTGATTCCACTGATGAGTACATTGCTACACTGTTCCAGTCACTGTCTCAAAGTCCTGCCTATAAGTGCACAAAGGGGGACATTCCCTATATAAAACATGAAATAACAACGAAGTGTCCTTGTTTGAGAAAGTGATGAAAGATGCATGTGCCTGGAGGAGAGTATGCCTTCTGGAGAAATGCAAAAGATGGCAGGATCATAGCAGGAAGGGGTCCAAACATGAAGGGACCTACCAGTCATGGTACTGGGCTTTGATTTTATTCAAATGTTGAAGGAAACATTGACTAAGTCTAAGTAGGAAAGTCACATTATTTTTTAAAAAATAATTCTGCATGTGGGCAACGGGATAGAAAGGGCAATAACAGAAGCAAGGAGAATGGTTTGAAAGCTGTTGTAGCAGCTTGGATGAGACATATAGATGATTTGACTAAGATGGTGGCAGTGAAGTCAGAGGTGGGTGCTGTATGTATTTTGGCCTACAATTGGCATGATTTGTTTATGTATCTGTTTCATGCAGGAGGAAGGTAAGAGGAAGGTAAAGCAAAGGAACAAGGATAATTTTTTAGGTTTCTGGCTATAAAAAATAGAGATGGATGTTGATACTATTAACTGTAATAGGAAATATTGTGGGTGGGGAGTATATTGAATAGAAAAAAATCAGTAGTTTCATTATTAAATATTAATATTTAATATTATTATGACATATCAGATGGTGATTTAAAGGAGATAGCTGGATGTGTCCTTTTGTAGATACAAATTGGAAAATCATCAACATCCAGGTAGTACTTGAATTGGTGAGAACTGATAATCATTGCTAATGGCAGGCGAACAGCAAAGCAGCCAGAGCAAAAGGGAGGAATTGCGGCAAGCAGCCTCTTTCCCTCCCTTACATGGTAAACAGGCTACCCCTGCCTAAGGGGTGTGTAGCTCTCACATAATCTCCAACCCCTCCTCTTCCACAGGCTCAGGATGTATATAAAGTAAGCAACTTGGCTTCCTGCTGAGTCACTTAGCCAAATGTCTAGACTCCCCAAATTGACACAATGTATCAACCATAACACTCCACCCCTTGTCAACTTGGCAACCAGACACATTTCTTTAAACCAGGTTCCAGGTACAAAGTACCAAATTCTGTCTTGGTTACTTTTCTCTCGTTGCTGAGACAAAATACCCAACACCCAAAATGAAGGAAGGAAAGGTTTATTTAGCTTACAGTTTGTGGAGGTTTCAGTCCATACTTGGCTGGCTCCGAGGCAGAAGATAGCAAAGCAACAAGAGCAAAGGGGGGAATGGCAGCCGAACAGCAAAGCAGCCAGAGCAACTGAGCCGAATGGCGCCGGGCCAAGCAGCTTCTTTTCCCTCCCTTACATTGTAAACAGGCTACCCCCACCTAAGGGGTGTGTAGCTCTCACATAATCTCCAGGCCCTCCTCTTCCACAGGCTCAGGATGTATACAAAGTAAGCACCCTGGCTTCCTGCTGAGTCACTTAGCCAAACCTCTAGACTCCCCAAATTGACACAGTGTATCAACCATAACACTCCACCCCTTGTTAACTTGGCAACCAGACACATTTCTTTAAACTAGTTTCCAGGTACAGAGACATTATATTCCATTAGAACCATAACATTTCACCCCCTAAAGACTCATGCACATCCTTTTATGCAAAAGACATTTAGTTCATCTGCAAAAGTTGCCGAAGTCCTAACAGCTGCAGCACTGCTGAAGAGTCCAAGTCCCAAGTCTCCTCCGAGATGAAGGCAAACTCTTAGCTGTGACCCCCTGTACAAATGAAAAGCTAAACACTTCCAACATTCAATGGCTCAAAATAAGCAGTACCATTCCAGAAGGTACAAACAAGGGGATACAGAGCATTGGGACCAAAGTAAGTCCAAAATCCAGCAGGGCTAACGTTATGTCCTGTAATTCCACATGCAGCATCTGAAGCAACTTGTGGCACATTGTGAGCTCCAAAGGGTTTGCATGAGTCCACCCCTATGGCACTTCCAGTGGTTACAGCTTCCACGGGTTCTCTCTTAGGCCTGCATTGCTCGCTCCTTGAAGCTTTCCTTAGATGATCCACGGTCCTGGCTTTTCTAAACTTCTGAGGTCTCCAGTGCACCTTTTGCTTCACACTCACAGCCTCACACACTGTCCTCTCAGGGGCACACTGCCTGGCCTCCCAGGCCTTCTGAAATCTGGGTGGAAGCCTCTTTAACCTCAGAACTCATGCATTTTCCATGCACCTAAAGCCAGGACCACGGGGATGATGCCAAGGTCTGCTGCCACCTGGAGCAGTAGCCAAGTTTTCCTCTCTCTTGGCCACAGGGGTCGAGTGCCTGGATCGCTAGGCACTCTGAATCCAATTCTGAGGAGCAGATTTTCTATGCTGCAGCCATTCTGGAACGTGGTGTGGCCACTGCCACCGCCATTCTGGAACATGGCGCTCAGCAGCTTTCTTCTCAAGGCAAGGTCTTTCACCTTTGCCGTTTTGAGGCTGCAAAGGGTGGAGACTTGCTGCTTCTTGTGATGCCCTCAGGCCGTCTTTTTTATTTTCTTGCTCCTTCTCAGCAATGGAGATCTCTTCAGCTCCACCTTTGCAGTACACAGCTTTAATGGAGCTTTCTTTCTGGCCAAACTCACAACATTTTAAATCATCCTGCTGGGCTCTTTGTTCTTGATTCTCAGTATAAATCTGGCTAAAAGCCCCGAACAATAGCCATGCCACTTCCCCAATGTCTGACTGCCTTGAAATTTCTTTTGCCAGATTAACTAGTCCTCTGCCGCCCTTGATCTCAGTCTTAGGCAAAGTCTCTGGACATGAGCAAAATGCAGACAAACTTTCTGCCAAGCCATAACACACATCATCTGGAGTCCAACAAACAATGAAGTCCTTCTTCCCAGCAGAAACCTCCCAAACCTGGTCTTTACCTGCAGGATTTCTATCAGCCTTCTGGTCTTCAGAGCTCTGACCAGAATCTCCCAGACAGAACAGCTGAAGGTTTTCTAGCGCATCTCTTTCAGGGGACGTCTCT